TACTGGACCAGAACTGACTTCCTAACTATTTGTGATGTTAATAATCATGCTGGTAGGCCCCGCCCCTTAAAATCTGATTTCCAATGAGCATAAGAAATCACATGTTACAGCTAAAGAAAGGGCTGTATAAGGAAATGGCAAACTAGTAACAGACAGTGTACAGATGCTGCACTTTACAGTACTGCAGCTCTTTTTGACATATTTAGTCAAATCTGATCTCATAATTATGACACTGTATATAAAATACAACATAGTCAAAGAGCCAAAATAATAATAGTATAAAATATTGTGCTTACTAGCTCATAAATTTGATTTACATTTGTTTTAATTTGTTTCCAACATGTAATCTAATTTTGGCCTTCATCTAATTCATGGATTCAAAATATTTTGCAACATATGTGCCAACAACGGGGTTGAGTTTCACCATGCCAAGATGTTTTGTAAAAATTGACAAATCCTGGAAATCAACTTGTCTTCCGCTCTTTTCTTATTCTATAGTTTGGTGTGGAAAAACTAAGCACATTAAACATTTTATTTTATTTTCTGTTCACATAGAAAAAACAAAACAAATGGCTATTTGTAGCAGCCAAACCCTGGCGAATCCACACATCTTACAATTTTGTTAGCATGTTAGCATGTTTTCAGCCCTCAAATGGGAAACAGAAACACAAACACATTCTTCTTCTTTTTCAAGGTCAAAATGTAAAACACTATGACATATGGCACACTTGGCATACACTGCTTTGCCATGGGTAAACTCTCTTTTGTTATTAATTTGATACGTGAGACCCCTTAGCAGCAGAAATTATATATTGTAGGTTTAATGTGAAAATTAATATAACATAAAACAGGACAAAAGAAAAATGGCGATACATGTAGCTACACCTTGTGCCACACATCAGACTGAATGTCACTCTTGCTAAAATGTTAAGATATAAGAACAAAAATAAAAAATACTTCCCATTAAGATCATTATAGTTTCACCTTATGTATGCTTTCATATGTTCCCTGTGAGTGTGTGGAACTGCAAGCTGCTGCATACTGTTTGTGTCTGCCTCTTGCATGGTAATGAGCACGTACCTGTCAGGCAATCATGTGCAGGATGCTGCCTCAGGTCAGTGTTTGCTGCCAGAGGATGCCTTTCCATGACTGTTCCTTCGTGCACACACCTGTATGCTGTCCCCGCTCTCTGTCTGCAGCTTGACATTTGGTACAGTGAAGATAGAAGACACTGCAGGGGGAGAAGACGCAAGCGGATTAGAAGTATGAAGGCTGACAGGAAGGAGAACATTTCCAAGTGAGTTGTTAAAGATAGACATGGTTATTAAAAAGTGAATATTTGAATATTTATTTGCAGTGAGAGTCTTTTTAGGGTTTATGAGGAGAAGTGTCTTTAAAAAGTGTTTTACATTGCTAGATGTGGCATTTTATCATTGCGCACTTGCTTTTAAATTTTGAAACATTTAAATCATTGCTAAAAGCTAACAAGACCATCAGTATAGAGGGTTAAAACAGAAGATGCTTAATGGCTGGATGTGGTTTAAATTGAGACAGCAGTGTCTCACACCTTCTGGTTCTGCCCTTCACTTACTGCATTCTGTTCAAAAAGATTTGACTGGTACTCAAAGGTCTATAAAAGAAACATCCAACTGGAAGCTGGGCTTGTCATTTTCGGCTACTCACAATCAACTTTGTCTTTTCCTACAGCCATGCAACAGTCCTTCATGCTGTGGAAGATTGGAACCCATTTCTTTCTTGCCTAGACAAGACCAAGGATCACTCATACTCACCCATTTCTCATACCCTTTGTTAAAAATGTAATGTATAGCACACTTAAGCACTGGCTTCAAAACGGCACTCCACAAACCAATGGGTGACATCACAATAGGTTTACACATGCATGCAACAAATCTGCTTGACCAATCATGACAATAAGTTATTGAACCTTGAATTTACAGGAACACTTGCATTTAGTATCTTGAGGTGTTTTCGAACTAATCGGTTCTAGGGACTTCGTGAGAGGAAGAGCGCACTGGAGAGCTCCCACGAGAACTACACCTTTAGGGGCTTTCTTTGTGTTCACACCACCAGTAGTCACGATAGTCCAGTGGTTGGGATAGCAACGTCCTTTTAGCGCAACATACAACAACCGGTTCTACGACAACAACACAACAAGATGGAGAAAGCCATGGTCGGAGTTGGAATTAAAAATATGCTGAATTAGCTATTAGCAGTTCCTGTTTACAATGCACCCATGGGTGCACAGACAACTATCACTTGATAACTAGAAAATAGAAAAATGTAAGAAAATTAGAAAATGTAAAAAAAAACTGATAATTCTCAGGCAAGTTCTAAAGCGCTTTTCTTCCTACAATTTCTAAGTAGATTTATGGACGTTTATTTACAATGAACATCAGATATTTGAAAAACATCAGTCACCCTGAACCAAAAAAAAATGTTTATCATGTCTCTGTGTGCAGAGTTTAGGACTCATGGAAAGCACATTTCTTGCAATAATTTGCAGAAATTGGGCACTAAGTGTTTCAAGTTCTTTTTATAACATTGGCACTGATCCCTTTCACCTCACACAGTACTATGCCTCACATCTCTCCCTCTGCGGCCCCTTTTCAACTCTCCCATGCCCCCTGGGGAGACGTGCCTTACACTTTGAAAACCTCTGTGGCCAAAGCTCATGGGTATTGTAGTATTTAAACGATAGAAAAAACATGGTCTCTCATAAACTATGTTGGAATAACTGTTGGCCATTACATAAACCTACAGCATTGTTTCATTATCCAAGAGTCTTGTTGATGGTCATTTAAAATATCAGTAAAAGAAAGATATGAAATAATAATTCAGTGTCGGAAGTGCCACTGCTCATTGTTGTTTTGCTTATATTCTGGCAAACAATAGGGATAAAATGCTGTCTATACAGAAATCACTAATTCCTACACTGTAAAATATGCTGAGTTAGTTTAACTTAAAAACCGATCACTCTAAACCATTTAAGTTTATTAACTTAAACAATTTAAGCATCAAATATATTTGATTTGAGTACAAGTAACTCAAGTATTTATTGTTTAATTAAGTTAACTGTACTAATTCCATTCAATTAATTGAACTTAAAGGTAGCAACTATATTACACTCATATGCAGCTTTTCCCCAAACTTATTTAAAATGCGTGAACATAATTTATCTGAATAAAGTAACTTAAATGCTACTTCTTTACACAAATGTTACCACCAAGTTTAAAACTTTGTTTTCTTCCACTAAAGCTAATTATTACATTTCCTGGCAAAAGAGCTGACAAACTTATAATAATTGATTATCAAAAAGTAGCCAATTTTTTCTGTTTTTCTATGTGACAAACATCCAATCTTTTCAAAAATTTGAATGCATATTCGGGCTTCTGCTGATTAATAAACTGAAATTAAAACAAAAATTGAAAAATGTAAGCTATGCAACATTACAATGCTTACATTTTTATAATGATATAAAGTCAACTTAAAGATAATGCATCAATGGAACTAGATAAAAGTTAAACTTAAACTTAAAATAGTGCACACATTTAAGTGCACAACTGAGTTGCTTCAACAATTCATTTTTGAGTTAGGTTTAATTCATGTGAATGCCTGATTTATTTAAAGGATTAATTTATGTTAACTTTTATTAATATGGCTTGTCAGGTTTTACAGTGTAAGGCGTGTCCTTGAAGTAAGGTTTGTTTTGCTGCAGTTCAAGCAGCTACTTTGCATTCAGAAATCCCCAGACGATTGGTAGGCTCTGAGGTCTTTTAAACTAACCTTAATAAGGCTACTCCAGGAATTAGCACTTGACCATAAACATCTGTGGCTAACATTTAATTTAGCTTTTTGTAGTTAAATGAGGAGTTATCATATATTTCAACTTCATGATTCAACCGNNACACAAATGTTACCACCAAGTTTACCATAATTTATAATTAATTGATTATCAAAATAGTAGTAGCCAAATCATTATCTGTATTTTTTTATGTGACTCAGTGAGGCTTACATTTTTGTAATTATATAAAGTCTACTTCAGAAAATGAGTCAACGGAACAATCTGGAATTATATTGTTAATACTTAAAATACAGCAAAAATTTCAGTGCACTCAAAACAACTGAGTTGCTTTTACAATGCATTTTTGAGTTAGTACTCAACTGTCTTTTCTTTCACTTCTCGATCGGTGTAAAGTCCAGAGTTTTTTTTCCCCAAAGGCCTTTGCTCTCACTTCTTGCACTGCCAGACACCCACACACTCTCACTGAAATCAAATTGAAAATGTCACAATCCAATCCACACAGTAACAGCAACCTCAGGAGCTCTATTGTCTCAATAATTCTGCCATTGTCCCTCTTAATCTGTCTGAGCATTGTCTGGATAAATCCATAATACACATGATAATAGAATGCACAGTCGGCTATAGAAAACATACTGTTCATCCCTACGAGGATAACATGGGACAATTACTTGAAAGGTTCATCAATTTCTCAACCAACTATGACATTTTTCCTTCCCCAGATTATCTTTTATTTGGTTTGTTTTGGAGTACTGCGTGTTTTAGCTACAGAGGGGTATACAGTACTCTTTCACTGAGCTGTTCCAATTGGCTCCAGTCTTTCCTGCGGAAGAACACGATTACCATGCTCCAGTTGTAGCCAAATACTCACAACTGGAGTAATTAGCCAGTTCTTTATCTTGCAATTCATTTCTCATTTGCATAATTTTGACACATCCTTTCACCCACAAAAGTGCAAGCGCCAAACCCACACTCGCCTTCTATGCACACACACAGAAGATACTTTGTGTTTATCCACTCCTGTCCTCATTTTACGAAACTGTTTTTAATTCATTCCCATTCTTCCCTTGGTGGCTCTGCTGCTTTGCCTGTGTGTCACATGTACGTGCAGAAAAGAGAGAATCAGAGAGAGAGAGATAAAGGGAGAATGGAGGGAGAAAGAGAGAGCAAGCATGACAAAAAATCTAAATGAGCCATCTCTCCCTGTCTTAGTTACTGCCGCTTTCTGATTCTTTTCAGACATGACAACCTGCTAGGTGCTGATAACAGGATTAATAATGCTGAAAAATCCTAATCGGGGGGAATTAAAAATGGAATTCTCCCATTAATATTACCACCATGTCAGTGGCAGCACACTCACAGGTCTGCTGATCAGGCTTTTCACACCACTAATGAATAACAGCTTAAGGGATTGGTGATGTATGTATATGTAGCCTGTCAAAGAATATGGATATGCAGTCATCTCTTACATACTTTCCTGCAATAACCCAATTCTGTAGGATTAATTGAAATATAGCCTAACTGTGAAGCTCTTACACCCATGGGAAATCTACAGTATTAATAAAGATCTGCTTCTAAATTGAAGATATGCTGAAAGCTAGATGCTGTGTGTTTCTGAGCTACTTTGCTTTCAAAGCTCTTATTTAAAGAGTGCCTCGGTGTGCTGTTGCTCTGAGCAAACAACAAGTCAAGAAAGATAGAAAATCAAACTGAATGTGTTGCTGCGGCCAGCCGAGGTCCGGCTGGGCTCGCCGTCCCAGCGGCATCCACATAATAAGACGGGCTTTCTCTGCGTGAACAAAAACAACCCCAGGTCGCTGCTTGCTGCCTTCTTTACAGAGAGACAGAAACAGAGACAGGCAGGAGGAGGATACTGTATGATCCAGTGGAGCTGAGGGAGCTAAAAAAAAGAGATAAAGAAAAACACAAAGAAGGTAGGGAGAGGGAGAGAAAAAGAGATACAGAGAGGCCACGTTTCTCACTGTCAAGGTAACTATAATTTTAAGAAAGTAAAAATAGATAGCATATAGAGACAAATCATGCAATTAAATCATAATATTAACTCTAATCTGCTATACAATGCTATACTGCTGTGCTAAAACTATACTCCACTATATGATGCTGCATATGAATTAATGTTAATGGTGCACAATAAGGATGATAAGATTGACTGATTTGCATAAGTGCACCGACATAAAAGTTAAAAATGTGATTGCACAGATTAAAAAAAGTGTGCATTGGATACAATTTGGATTGCATTGGTAAAATACAATTTATTTATATATAATAATTAGTAGAGGCCCTTTGCCTTTATTATTTAGAAATGTGACCAATAGCTCACACTCTCTGGACCACTATGATATTCTTTTGCACTGTGTTAGTATCGCCTTGGTAATTGCATCATATGTATCTGTAATGTATTGATACTTGGCAGTGCATTGAGATGTATTGCACATCCCTACTATTCTACTGCATACTAACATACACTATACTAGAATACAGTATACTATACTATACTGTTCTATTCTATACTAATATATACAATTCCATATTCTGTGACTACATTTTAAATCCTGTTTTAGCCTACATTTGTTTACAACTTGGGACCATTTAAAGTATGCTGAATTAGGTATTAGCAGTGTAGCCATGGATGTGTACACAACTATCACTGGATTACTTTGGCAAAGAAGAAAACTTAAGAATGTGATGATTCTCAGGCAAGTTCTGGAGTTATAAGGAGCAGGTTATCTTCTATGATTTCCAAGCACAGTTACGGATGTTTATTCTCAGTGGATCAGATCAGATCAGAGATAATGATATACTCAGAAGGAGCAAGTTGCACTGAATCTAAGGATATGTGTATCATGTCTGTGTGTTCAGATTTGACTTTGACAGTTATGTTTTAAAATACCTTCATTGTCTCAGTGACCTGTGTGTCACTACAAGAACCGCATTCCTGTTATTTTTAGAACACCATCATGAACCTGACCCTTTCACCTAACACAGTATCTTTTCCTCACGTCTCTCTCTCTCCGAGACCCCCCCCTCAATTCCAGAACCCTCATGTGCACTCCTCTGCTCAAAAAATACTACTGTAGAATATGCTTATGATGACCTATGAGCACCGTGCAGCCAAAACTTGGTTGGCATATGGCATATTCTGACCTCCATTACTAAGCAGCACCTCAATTGTACAGCCTGCCAGCACAGACAGGGGGTGTTAGAGCTACAGTGATTGGTGGGTTGCGTTACATACTGTCCTGCAGCTCCCAGAGCCGCGGAGGGAGGTTGCTGAAGTACTCATGGTTCAGCGCTGCCTGGGCTGACAGCCGGTTCTTTGGGAAGCACTGGAGGAACCTGGAGGCCAACTCCTCAGCGTGGTCCACATAGCCCAACCTGACACACATAAACACACATTATCAGTAACAGTGACCACAGAAACATACATATACAGTTTAGAAAACAGACAGGCAACCTACTTCTGTTTCATTTCATAAACCATAAAGTTACCTATCATACCATTCATTCATCCCTCTGAGAAAGTAACTCGCTTTTTATCCAATTCACAGAGCTGCTGACAACAAAAAACAAGCCTTTTAATTATGCTGAAGTTTTGCTGACTTACACATTCCTCTTTTGAGCTTTGCCTCGCACATGGCGACCGGGTCACCGTGAGAAACAAAACAGTGCTCATTAAAGCAGGAGCTAAGACGGAAGCAGACCCTCTGTGAACATGTGAATTTGCGTTGGTACTGGGAGTCACTGAACTCCTGAACCAGCCCTACCTAGTGGCGCCAAGGGGGTAGAAGAGATTGAAAATAAACGAAGAGCAACAAATTCAGGCAGTAATTAGGCATCCACAGCATTAAATAAACATGATGTTATTCAGCACAGCTCGCTGGCCCGCCGCTCGCGGTACTAAGACTGCCTCTCATGTTCTGCAGGCTTCTCATGGTTGGCTCCCTAGTCAAGCACTCTGACAGCCACTCCCATGGCTCTCATAGGGGATCTCAACTCGACTTATCAGCAGAGAGACAGGGGGAGGATAAATCTCTGTTCAACTCATCAACGCCATTCAGCAAAGAGGCAGAGATAAAGTTAATGAAGTCCATCAGGGCCTCTTCTCGCCTCTTTCTCATACAGCTGGAACAGTCTGTGTAACTCTGATGCAAAGTTTAAAGACAAACTAGTCTTTGTGTGAAACTATACTGGTGGAAAAAGACCTTCTAGATTACTGGTTCAATGATATGGGCTTTTAAGGTCAATGCTGATACTGTAGCTTTAGTTTGAAGCAGCCAGCAGTATTTTGTTCAGCTTTTATGTTCCAACTTGTGCACCACCCCACCTCCCATAGTCCAGTTCAACAGCAAAGCAGCTGAAAGGAACATCTCCATCCCCACTTTAGGCTGTTTATTTTCCAGGGTTTATGTGGTTTTGATGCAAGAATATAACTTTAAAAGAAGACAAAACAATATGACAAATGTTGGACAGACTAGACATCAGAGTTAGCAAAGTGGAAGTAGAGCTTTGCACCAAAAAAGCAAAAAATCTCAGACTGTTTACTGCAAATGTCTCTGAGTTAATGCCCGCATTTAGTGTGTAAAATGGAAGGGGTTATCTTTTGGGGAGCTTGAAGGTGTCCATCAATTTTGGTCTAACAATGGCACTAGAGGAAAGATAAGGAGGACAAAATGAACACAATTCATCTTCTTGGGATCATCAACATGGAGACCAACCAAAGGTTACATAGATATGTTGTGAGACAGAGGGACAAACAGGGTATCATCATTCCTTCAGTAATACTATATAACTTCTCTACCTGAAAATTATAGCTTCAAAGTCATTTGCACGCTCCTCTAGTAGTAATAGGGTGAATGATGCCTCTGTCACGCCTGTTCTTGCACTATGTAACTTATGTCTCCGGGTTGGAACAAGTGCATAACACTACATTTTTGACAGTAAGTCAACAGTCGACAACTATGTCACTGATTTTGGTGAAACTGGATCATATTTTATGAAAAAAAAAAAGAAAAATCTATGTGATGTCCTCCAGCTGCTCTGTCACAAGTCATTGTGATTTACAAAGTATCTTCATGGACAGAGAGCTTTGCATGTTCCTAAAGTTAGCTGCTAACTGCTTTTTAACTATAACTGAGCTATAACTAGTTAACTCAGTTAGTTGGACTGGGAGCTCATTGGATCACTGGGGGAGCACAGGTTTAGATTGCTGGGAGGAAGTTTTCAGGCCTGACGCAGGGAATACTAGTGGTGCCGGAATGGGCACCAGAACCAGAGCTGGGCAAGCAGGCAACATAACTGGGCTCAGCAGCCTCTACAGACATAATGGCAGAGACGAAGGAGGAAGATAAGAAGAGAAAAAGAGAAAGATACTGAGCAATAGGCAGGATAAGAGATCTTGGACTGGCTTTTAGTTGTTGGCGAGAATTTTGTGAAATAAAAGGCTGCAGACAGATAGCGAGCTTGCCTTCTTGCTGTTGGACTAGTCAGTAATATTAGCTGGCTTGCTTGTGTTGTTGCACTTGCTTGATGATTGGCTGTGTTAGCAGTGTTGTCGACTGGCTTGATCACAAGTAAGGTAATCATAACAAATGTGCATGTACAGCTTTTCGTATTTACCACAGTGGCATATAAAGTGAATTACACAAAACAATTCTTCCATAATGTTGCTTTAAGGTGCAGTGTGTAACATTTAGGAGGATCTATTGTCAGAAATTGAATATAATATTCATAGGTATGTTTTCATTAGTGTATTATCACCTGAAAATAAGAATTGTTACCTTAGAATGCATTTCATATCGTACATGACGCTCAGTGGGTCATCTGTGTCTTCTAGTAGAGTCGGTCCTATTGTATGATACGCGCATTGTTTCTCACAAGGGTTTAGCCCAGACCAGAGCAATGACTCAATATGACTGTTGCTCTATGTTTCTCCTTTTATTACACTTGTAGATGGGGAGGGTGAAATTGATTCCTTGATGATTTTCTGGTCTAGTATATCGGTAGAGAGACTGCTAGATGCCAACTAAAGGTTCTAGCTACATTGGTCTCTTGATTAGTATGGTGTGACTTTTACTATGTTAATGTGTCAGATTTGTATTTATGTTCATGGAAATGAGTGTTTTCTTGTTTGGTTTTTTGGTATTTTATTGTATTATTTGCTTCTGGAAGAGCTTTTTCAGTCTTGGGAATGGTTGATTATTAACGCTTCCTATTCATGATGTTTCTATCTCAGGGTCTTGGGATTCTTGACGACTACAAGACTGAAAAGAAAGCTTTCATCGCGGGTTTGCGCTCCTATAGTCTACGAGGTGTTGTTTAGTATGAGCTGGCGACTCCATTTGTATCGATGTGTCTTCGCTTGCATGCAGCGGCCAGGGTTTCTGAAGGGTTTTGCTGACCTGCGGCTTTTCTGTGTCTCTTTGTTCTCTAGTGCTGCGGTTGTGCGAGCTGCCACCTTTCTCTCTGCCTCCTTTTTCGTTTCTCTTTTCTACTTTCATGTGTTCTCTCTTCATATAAGGCAATTTAATAAATGCCCTCTATATAAGTGTAAGTACCGTTATTTAAAGATCATCCTTTAAAAAAAAAAAAAAAAAGGCTTTCATCATGTAGGCATTCACTTGATATGGATATGTCTAAAGAAAAGGGACTAAAATGTCAGGATATCTCGGCTTTTGTGGCTATAATTATGATCTTTCTTTTTTCTTGTGAGTCCCTCAGCTTTATGAAAATGAAACACTAAATCACTGAAGTACCTCCCCTAAACCTTTACTGCCAGTGGGGTGAAATAAATCCCCAAATGAAGCCCCCAGAATCTATGTTCTCTGTAACAGTGGGGTGTGTCTGTAAGTGAATTCAGCTAAACTTGGCTTTGCTTTGTAGTTTCTCTGCAGGCATAGAGACAAACAGGGAGATATGTGTATGTGTGAAATCACCTGGATATGAGCATGCTGGCCTTTGAAAAGTGTTGATGTACAGTAGGTGCACATTCCTTCCTGCTATTGCTGTCAGCTAGGCCAAGTGAATAATCAGCAGTAAGATCGATAGCATCTCCTAAAACTATCAGACAGCTCCAGGTGATGACACATTAAAGGCAGTTAGAAGCATTCCTTCCTCAGTGGTGCGTGCTTTTTCACGGTATTCTATCAGAAAAACTTGTCCACCGCACCACAGCAAAAAGTGGTAGAGCAGTCTCTGTTTGAGCAAAGCAAACAAAGCAAAAACCAGGAGCTGTTTTGGAAGAGAAGCCTTTGTGTTTTCTGTCTGAAGACATCCTGTGAAGAGCTTTCATCATGTCTGACTCACTGGGCTATGATGGGGGTATTGTGAGGGCAACTTGGAACTGTGCAGGGCAAACAGGCCTTAGCATGCAACTATATCACAGATGTCAAGTTCTGTTTACAGTAGTGATTGACATATATTGATTAGAGAGAGCTGAAACCAAAATTTTAAATGCCGGGAGTCAATATTCAATGTTTTCAAATGTATCAAGTTTAAATGCAAATATGCAGTGATGTAGTGCAAGAGAAGTCCAAGACCAGGACTAGTCGAGTCAAGACCAAAAGAGAAAGACAGAGTCAAGATCAAGGCCGAAAAAAAGAATGCTTTTGCTAATGAGATGAGTTTTGGCAGAGTTTCTATCAATGCCCATTCTGGATGGATTTGGAATTAAACCAATACCAGTTTTCTGAACAAGCACGCTCACCGATGCTGTTTTGAAAGAGGAAATTACTTAACAAAAAAAAAAACATGTACTTCTTGCCAAGTCCGAGGGCAAATACCACAGTCCAAGACAAATCTCGAGTACACTGCAAAAATGATGACAAAAACAAATAAATAAATTAAAAACAATATTCTGTGTAAGTGACTGAAATGGTTGCTTGCACTTCAACTCATAAACTTTGTCTTTACCCACTTTCTGTGCCTGATCTGTACTGAGCATGTGCCACTCTCAACAGAGATGAGAAGGAAGTAAGATGGCTGACTCCTTAGCTACTTCCATCATCATCTGGAAAAACAATGGTTTAAAAAACAACAACATTGATGGTCAGTTGTAAACAGGAAAGTCAGTCTTCTTGTGTTGAAGACCAACTTTTTGTTGTCCCATCCATCCAGCCCGACCTCCTCCCTGTGCAGATCTTGTTGCTCTATAATGTCACCTGACTTCCTGCTTTGTTCTCATCAGAATTACTGTGGACACTGAAAGGCTTTTTCTTATTTTAGAAACTTGACTTATTAACTTAACACATTTTCATCATCGATTAATCTGTTGATTATCTTTAAAATAATTTGATTATTTAGTCTGAAAAAAATTCAAAAAGATTCCTGGATGAGTTTATCAAATGTCCTGTTGATCTGACCGAACGATCAAATTATGAAATATATTTAATTTATACTGATGTAAAAACAGAGACAAGCAGCAAATCCTCACATTATAGGGAAGCTGGAAACAGAGAATATTTGAAATATTTGAATTTGTTGAAAAGACTTAACACTTGACTATTAATCAACCAGTAAAATTGTTGCTGATAAATCTTCTATTGGTCTTAGATAATCAACTAGCAATTGCAGTACTTAAAGGTTGTATTTACTATTACTATATTTACCCTTATTAGTAGCGATAAGAGTAATAAAAATGTACATGTGCCATTATGTGAAATCTGGTAAAAAAGAATCATGATAATATAATAATGTCGGCATAATGTTCACTCATCATTCAGCAACTTTTTACCTATGTAGTATTGTCAGGCAAACTACCAACATGTATCTCCTGTCATAAACCAATTACAATTACAATTAAAGTGCATGTAAGTCTTAATTTTAACAACATGAGCTACAGTTGTAACACTGCTAAAAAACAGCAGTAAATAGGATGTGTTCAGATAATGTGTAAAACATAATGATATTATTAAAACTTACAGGATCTACCAGTTGGTGCATTTCTATCCTTCCTTGTTGGCACTGAAGATTGATGGAAGTTGTACAAACACTATACAACATTAATCTGATTTAATTTAATGATATTTGACTGAACACACTGGCCCACAGGCTGCATGCTTTTTGGTAATGTAACGTGTTCCAAATGAGCTGCTGGTCACTGGTCTGCTTTGGCGATCCTCACAGACAACAACTAGCATTCATGCATGACATGTGAAAGCTATGCTAACTAATGAAGAACAGATGCATGCAGACAACCATGTTGACATGTTTTGTGCTTAATCAGTGGTTTCCAATCTTGGAGTCGGTTAGTAAGAACACAAGCTACATGCACAAAGCCTTCACTCTCTGTTAACAGCCTCATCCTGTATTAAAAAAGTATTAAGCTAATTTAACAATAGTGTCAGGGAGAAGACAACATTGATTTGGTCAATAAAGAAGCCTTTTAAGTCTGTATGATGGTTAAAAATAAAGAAAATACAGAGAACTGTTCTTAAAAATATCATGAAAACGAAATCACTGATGCTCATTTTACACAAACTTCCTGCAGTAATTTTATTCCATGTGCAGTTTATCAGTCAGGGGTCGTCACTTTACTCAATGATAGAAAAGGGGTCCCCTAATGAAAAAGGTTTGGAGTCACTGTGCTAAACTGGAATTCCAGCTATCAATCCCTGCTGGATGAATCCTGCTGATATTCCTCTGGGATGTTTAGCACTGCACTGACCACATGCTGACGCGATATGGTCATGATGGTATTTACGCAGCAAGGGAAAACAGACAGACTGAAGCCGACTCTCTCCTACATAAGTAATCAATTAAACTGCTTCATTTCCATCAGAGAGAGGACAAACTGTTTTTCACACTCACTCACTACAATACTTACTTCCTATATCAAAGTACACAAGCACATCAAATTACTATAAACCCCGACCCATTCACTGGACATCAATCATTCACATTTTTACAGCTGGAGGAAGAAAAACAGTGCAGAGAGAAGTGGCTGACTGCAAGCAGAAACAGGAGAGTGTGAAGGGGTGAGCCAACTCTCAGGGCAGCGACAAAGTGAGCGCGTACCAGTTCATATCGAATTCATCGTTCCCTGGCCTGGGATGAAAGCTCACAGGGAGGAAGTGATGGTCATTAACATTCCACCTCACTTTCTTTCTTCACATTTTTATTTCCTCCTGGACTGGAGCGAGGCCACGAGACAGGGGAGGGGACAGACAGGGAGGGGGAAATCTACTTCGACGCACGTTTACTCTGCTTTTCATTTGTTGTCAATTTACCTAACAGCAGTTTCTGTATTGTTAGGCGAGGCTCAGGATAAATAAAATAGCATTTCGTTCAAATATACTGATTCAAAGGATTGTTAAAGTGATACAGAGATGGAATTTTGGCACATTAAGATCAGTAATTTACGGTGTAATTCTTACTTTATAGATTACAGGCAAAGCAGATTCTACCCAGACTCTCCTGGGATTGAGGACACAGATGACCTATGTAATTATTATAAATCACAGGAGGAACCCAGGTATTACTAGTGCTGTGTGATGACGAGGGCTTTAGTTAGCAGATCTTTGCTAAAGCGGCTATACTTTGTGATTCGGGCTGATTAGACAGCTGGAGTTTTACATGAATCGCTTTGCCTGGTGCTGCTTTCAGACTCCCTGAGGAAAACAGACAAAAACTCCACTTTGCCCTCCGTGGTTTTCAGCCCCTCCAGATGTATGCCTGGGGCAAACAGTGGCGCACATCTGGAGGGTGGGAGCCCCAACTGTGCCACCACCATGCCCTTTTCCCTGCCATATGAGTGTTATGTCCCAGAGCAGGAAGGGTGTGTGAGCTGCACTGATAGTGTGTGAACTACCCACGGGAGCATTTAAAGACAAGAGCAAGGATAACAGTGTGTCCATCAGCTACACAGACAGAGAAACACACACACAACCACACACACACACACACACACACACACACGAAAAACTCTTATTTGAGGAGTTCACTTACTTATTCCACGCTTGTCTGAGCTTCTTTGCGCTGTACACTGTAAAACGGTCTGTAATGAGAAGACAACAAACCAAGAATTCAGTCACTGAACTCATAACTTTGTATCTGGTCAATGTACATTTATCTCATCACATTGAAGTTACACACACACTGTACTCTTCTAAAAAAAGGTATCCAAACTAAACTCTGGCGAAACCCAACGAGCAATGCATTGGTCACATTTGAGATTTTGGCCTACATATGTCTTCTCTTACAATAATGAGAAGGAAATGCCCAACATGTTTATTTCACTACACTTAGTTTATTTGTGTCTGTAGATTTCACCAGAAGTTTTTCATTTGCATATCTAAACATACAATTGTAGAAAACTTGTAAGAATGTATGAAATGTAAGAAATCAACTGGGGAAGTTTCATGGTGATATCTATTAGTTACAAAAAATGGTGGTGTTTCCCCTAGACACAGCCATTGGTTAATTGCAAACATTCATACCATATAACAGACCGGAAATTCTCAAATTGTGGCAGGGCCTTTATTTGTTTATTAGGGACAACTAGGCCAGTATTTGAAACAAGCCTCCTTCAGAGACTAAATGTGCCTGTTTATAAGTTAATTTGATCATATTTTAGTAAGAAGCCTCCTTGTTTTCTGATCTGCTCCTGTTGACACTGTTTGCTGTGCATACAAACTCAAAACTTTCTCCTTATTCACCCATTTTCCAGATGAATTCAGTACAACATTCCCACGGCGTTAATTCAACAACAGAGTGATGTCTCACATGCACTCACCACGTTGCTGCTACTGTTTTCAATCACTTATTCTATTGCTCCCCCTTGACTATTCTTTCCACCTAACTGCTGTTTATCCACCGTCAATAAAACTCAACACTCAAATCTAACCACAGTGCCTCAAAGGGTTTATCCCTTTCGTTCCTTAAAGGCTTTTAATTTGAAATACATGTAAGAAGTATCTGCAGGAAGATACAGTAATGTATGTATAGACCGCCTCTTTTGTGGATTTCTCTTTTCTGATTGGACAAAGTCGGAAGGGGATAGCAGAAAAAAAAAAATTCTGTTTAGTGCAAAACGTATATTTTAACAAAAATACACTTATAGCGCCTTTAATTAGTGAATGAAAAAAGCAGTTGTGCTAAAAAGTGATATGTGTGTGTACTGTTGTATTGAGTGCTGTGTAAAATGTTCATTTACAATGTGAGCCATAACAGTGCAGGTAATTCCACCCGTCCACAGCTTAGAAATCAGCCTTTATTTGTTTGTTATTTAGGTCTTATTTATATATTTAATTTAACAGTACAACTCATTAAATAGACAGCAGCCATTTTGACATGAATTGGTAGGGTAAGCACAGGTGTTACCAATGATACTAATTAAGGCTCAGTTCCATTTAGTGTAGCAAAGCCTTTCCAGTGAGCCAACCATTTAACCAAAATAACAGAATCAGTCTTAGCCCCACAAAATGACTGAGTTTGTTTATACAATATACAAAATGATGTTGAGATGCAAAAAAAAAGCTGACACTTTTGGGTAAAATAAAAATGTTTCTAAATGATATGTATGTTCCTTTTCTCACAGCAGCCATTTTAACTTAGCAGGAAAAGGACAGGTGTAACTGATAACATTAACAATGTGCTGTTCAATTTAAGTGTCTGAGAAAGCCATGCAAGAGTGTCAGATCATTTTAAAGGAATGTAGCCATAATTCATGTAATTAATTCCACCTGTGCTTTTCCTGCTTTTGCCATATTAAAATGCCTGTTGGCTGTGTCAGCCACACTTATTTTAAGGATGACTATGGGACAGCAGGAAAACCAAACCAAATCAAACAGTTGAAGTTTCCCTGCAATACTTTATACATTAGTTTGCCAAATTAAGGAGTGGCTCATATCATTTCAGAAATGCTCTTGAGTAATATTGTATGAGCTATGTGCTCCAAAGCCAGACCACATTAAATTGTCAGAATTTTAAGAGGAGTTCGGTGAGACAGTCTCTCCATATTTCCACAGCTATGTTTATTATGCTGTGAGCGTGCGAGGCTCTGCACTGTCCTCTTACTCTCGGCCAAAACTGCCATGTGGACACGCAGTCTGAGCTGGGCTGCCAACTGACCGGCTACCGCACAAGCTAGCCAGCCACCCAGCGAGCCGGTCCGCCTCCCACATTGCCAGCTTAATCCTACTAGCCAACCACCCGACTGTCTTTCAGTTCCCGTCCTTCAGCCTGCCAGCTACAGCCCACAGTGGGTCCAGTCACACAGTTCAGCGTCAGGGCTGGCCTGAACTGGACACAGCTTCCTGTGTACCAGAGGTGAAGGCTGGCAGCCACAGTGCCCAGAAATAGGCAGAGTGAAGGTGAGAGGAAGAGAAATGATAAGATGATACATGTAGGCTGTTTATTTTATCTTTATATGTTACCTTAAGTGCACAGCAGCACACTTGCAGATCAATCTATTTTAGCTGGTGTGTTATATATGTATACATTGCAATATTAATGAATAAATTCCATATCCAAACATGTAAATCTTTCTCTGAATTATTATAAAGACGTACAAAATGTAGTGGTAGAAGAATATATCTAAGAGCATGTATACCATTATATATTATCAATGATTAATAATAAATCAATGAACATTAACTTAAATGCAAAAATAAATACATTTATGCTATGCTCAAGGTCACTGAAAAGTACCTCCAAAACCCCTGAAGTTCTCAAATTTAAATTGTTCTAAATACTTTGGACATGTAGAATACCTGACAAATAGATTGAAGCTCAAAACTGGAGGTTTCTCTTCTGCTTGTCTGCAGACCACTGTATAATCTACAATTATGTTCTATGATGAATGAAACTGCTCTAGTTCGGAATGTGGTGTAAAAGCCCAACATAATATATCAGTAAGCAAGACAGTAGAGTGGAGGGAGAGAACTAAAGCGAGATATGGCTGCAAATGAGGAAATATCCGTGGAACCTTTTCGTTACCACAAAAATGTGAAAGATAAGTGGGGCCTGTACTCTGAGGTCAAACCACACTGTTGTGTTAGAAATCCTAACTTAAAAGATGTACTGCAAAGGCCAGGATGGAAAAAAAAAATACAAAAAGTATGCATGTAGAAGTAATAGTGGAAATGTAATGAATCATAAGGAGGACAGTGATACAGTTAGTGTGTTTTGGAAACGTGTGCAAAGAGCAGTCAGCTCAGGAGGGCTTGGTGCTGTGGAAACTTTTCCACACTGATGCAACACTGCCATCTGCTGCTCACTGCAGCCCCTGGACTGGATTTCACAGTATCTGATTCTTGACAACAAATATCAGGCTATTGGAATATTGAAAAGAACTCATCAAGGACTTGGCTCCAACAAATGATTTCCATATCTAGAGAATAATCTACATCCAGTGAATTCCTCAGATGGATATTCAGTAACTATCTATTTTGTACCACTGACACTGGACCAACAGAACATCCTTTCTTTTTCCTGTGCTCACTAATGAGCTCCATTAGAAGAAAATAAAAATGTATATTTTAACATAAAAATATTCATATATTACATTTTCTACCCTACTTTTGTCACGTGCACATGTGATGTATAGTGTGGCTAAAACAGGAAACTATTTATTGGTTAACACCATTTTAAATCTTCCAATGTGTAACAGATAAATTAACAATAATCTAACCTTTATTTGGATGGTTTTTCAACACAGTTTAAAAAAGACCCACAGACCCTTTCGATGATAACTGTAAGAACAACAAACCTCATAGTTGCTCTTGGTGTTTTGATATACTGTGGTTTTCATTATAGATGAACTCTGAATAGCTCAGAATAAACTTTATTCTAACCAGGAGGTAACCTTCAGAAGAGCTTTTTTAAATCTGGTTTGACATCAGTCAAACAAGTGCATTTGTATGTGTTAGCAGAAGATCATAATTCCATTTTATGTGGTGATTCTATTTTACTACAAAATGATTATCACAAAAACATCCCATCCCAGTTTTCAACCCACAAGAATGATCTGATAAATCACTCACAATGTGCCTGGGTTGATTATAACCCTCTGATTATTGCGTACTCTGATTGGGCTTTTCCTGTCATTCTGAGGCTTTATGATGCTTTATGAGCACCACCATGTGGTTAAGTCTTACTCTTCCTGTGTTTGTTAAGAGTGAAGCCATAACAGCATCAGATCTGCAGACATTACATGAACAGATGCAATGCTTGGAGGCTAGAACCAAGCAAAGCTGACCGTGTGTGTGTGTGTCTGTGTGTGTGTGTTGCTCAGACAGCTGCACAGCTGTTCAACACAGTGCATGAGAGGCAAATGAGAACCAACTGTCGCCATGGCCACAGGATGAGAGATTACATTTGTATGTGTTGTGCGTGCATGTGACCATGAGAGTCACCCTAGTTGGTCCCTAATTGGCCACTGGAGATAGAAGGCTGGGTCACATAGCTTTGTGATGCCTCGCTGCCCGCACCATCACTCTAACCCTCTTTATGTCCATCTTCGCCTGTCCCCTGTCCTCCACTCCAGCTCTTCTTCCCTCCATAAGCTAACACTAATCTGCACTCCCTCTATTCATGTTCCTTCTTAAAAGCCCTAATGAGCTCCCAGAGGGCAGGGCTGCCCTGGCAGAGCTGCCACCCCCACTCCCCTGCTGCTGCTGCTGCTGCTGCTGCTGCATTAATGGAGTACAGTGAGCTTTTGGTGGGCTGTCCCATTGGTTAATTTTGATGGTCAGGTTTGGAGTGCTGTGTATATATATATATATATATATATATATATATAATATATATAAACAAATGTGTCCTGGTACATCACTGGCTGCTGAGTGATAGGACATTCCATGGCTTCCCTCAAAAACTGTGTATGCTAAAGTGTTAGCATAGAGCCTAGCATCCAAGAATCTAGCAGCAGCGAGTTCTTTCCAGAGCGGCAATTTTTAAACTAATATTCAAAATGATAAAAAGGAGAAATCCATAATTCAGGACATAATACAGTATCTATCAATATTCCTACTAATAAAATTCCCTATTTGAGACACCAACAGCATTCAAACAGGCTCCATGCTTCTGATTATGATGACAAAGTGGTCTCTGCTGTCACCATACAGAATAATGAGCTCCATGCTAACCATTTTCACACATTACGATTAATAAAAAAGTAGCCTTTTTAAGTACAGGATGGCTTGATGCTAACACTGTATCATAAAGAAAGATGAGCGATAATAGCTCCATGCTGACCATTAAGCATATAATATGTTGGCTTCTTGCTAACATTTAATCATACACACTGTTGAGAGACAGCAGCTTACATGCTAACACTTAGCCTATACTGTGTTCTGTATTCTATTCTGGCCTAAGGTTAACTATGATTCAGTTGATCATGAGTGTTGAAGAAGTTAGTGAGGAATGAATGTAGTCACTACTTTATGATGTGACAGGTCTCACCTGGTTTAAAGTGAGGCAAAGAGTTGACGCCAGGCCAGGTGTCCTCAGATGGGGTGCCAAGGACCTGAAAAAACACCAAGAATAGAGAGGACAAAGTGATTAGATGAACTCCAGCAGTTTCCATGCACATAAAAACCTGATTTACAATCTTCGATGTGACCTTCTGGTTTAGTGGAAAATAAAGTAGTTAGCACTGAGAAGGGACACAAAATAATGCATCAACAACATTGCTACATCAATTAATCACAAGTTTTCCACCAATTAAATATTTCATTATTATTTATATCCATTTAAATTTCAACGACTAGCATATACTGAATAAAACTAGAGCACATGTAATAGAGAAACTCTGCACCATGATTGGCTGTATGACACATTTGAACTTCCAGCACAAATGCTTGTGCAATAGTCGTGATTAGTACATCTTTTATGGAAAGGCTGGCTGAGTTCTCACGCACACAGCCTGGGTTTATGATGACAAAACCCTGAGCAGCGGACATGCCTTCCACATGATCCATCCCAGCTAAGCAGCATAATAGTTTCCAGATTGCCAAGTTGTCTCTGATCTGCAGCACACTCACTACAGTAGAGTTGCTGCTCACAGAACTGCTGGATATCTACTGCAATGTTAGAGCACAGCGTATGCAAACACTCGGTGGAATGGGTCGTGGGATCACTGGGATACATATGTTTCAGATGGCTTTTATTTGCATGGCTGGAAGACAAAGCAAAAAAAATGAAAGTAAAGGTTGAGGGAATCACAGGATACGATTCCATAACAGAGTATCGAGACCACATACATCCCATGTAAGAAATTACAAATTGATGTGGTTAAGGGGACATGACCAAAGTGAAATTTAATGAAAACCAGAGGAGTTTAGAAAAGGTAAGAGGCTTGTTTGGCTTATTTTGGCCTGTTACTGACACAAATGTAAGTCATAGTTGATGTAATAATGAAATAACGCCACTAGAGGGCAGGAAAGCCCTATGAGGCGGACCCAGTGAGACTTCAATAAGAGCAGTCAGGACAAAGACACTGCTGTTTGCAAGCTCAGCTACTGAACTTCATTCAGTGTCATCCGCTTAATTTACAATATTACAGTTCTGGGAGAATCTCATTAATTATTTCAACATATGACAGCATACTTTGGTTTACAGGTGTGAAGGGTGTCAAATGGCTGCATTAGTGAAGAAAGGAATTCAGTCATTCTTTAGTGAGTAATTACCTCTAGTTTCTGTTATCAAAAGCTCTACTAGTGCTTTTAGAGACGATAATATGCCTGCAATGGCAAAACACGATTTGCTCAAAGGAGCAGTGTGTAAGACTTAGTGGAATCTAGCAGGGAAGTAACAGACTGCAAACAACTGAATACCGCTCACCAAGCGTGTAGGAGATATCATAGTGGTTACAAAACAAAAAATAAAATGTGAAAGGCCCAACTACAGCCAGTGTTTGGTTT